GTGTGTTTGTTCTGTTTTTTTAAGTGTTTTTCTGCATACGACATCCAGGATAGGTAAATCTATAGAGACACTGATTATTTTAATAGTTCTTTGGGGATATGGTGGGGAGGTTAAGGGGAAACGGGGATCTAATGACGATGAGTACAAGAATGAAGAAAAATGTTCGAAAATTGATTGGTGATGATTTTATGGCTCTTCTTGATTGAACTATTGAATTGTGAATTATATGCCGATAATTTTTTTTTAAAAACCTACAGTCACCCTGTCGCATTGACATAACAAAAACAAGTGGAAATACAACCACAGACATGAATGTCAAGATTCATAATACTTGCTTTGGGAGGATACAATCAAATCCATAACGTGTAGTATGAACACGAGGGGTCTCCACTTTCTCTGATTCTAAAGAGTACTAGGAACCGGACGGTGCTCATTTACAGGAGAAGCACTTGCAAGAGTCCACAAATGTACTGGTTTAGTCCTGCATCAAACCTTGAATTAAAACTAACCTCTAAGGCAACCTTGCAACTAAATAAGAAATCAGCTCAGAAACAATGAATATTACCAGAAGTAATGTAATTTTGGGGGGAAATATGAGATTAAATGGCCAACAGTTACTTTTAAGCAAAGATGAAAATGTACAGAGGAAGGTACACTAGATTAAGGAAACGGAACAACCAGAAATGAAATGAGAATGTTCATACATTCTAGAAAATGTAACCAATGTCACTGAACAAATTGTATAGAAATTGTTGAACAGGAACCTAAAGTCCCAAATTTGTATTTATATTCATGTTCACAAGTCCCATATTCAACCCACAGTAGTGTGTGTGTACATATATTGAAAGTATACAATTTAGCTATGAAACGTGGGCAAAAGAGACCCAAAACAAATGACAGTTGGCAATCTCTCATGAGTCTGAGCAAGAAACGGGAAACCTTCCCCCCAAAGAGACTGAAAGTAAACAATGCCACATCTGTGAAGCCCCGTCAGAAGGGCCCTCAGTCTGAAAACCATTCAGAATGTATCTCCCGGGACATCTCGAAAGAGAGGAGGTATGGAAGGGGTTTGGAAGAGGCGTGAATGAGTGCTGGTTTGGGGACTGGGTATGGGCTACCTATTCTCTCTACATCTGCCTAGGGAAAAATGCTGAGAAATAAAAAGTTAAAAAAGAAAAATCATCGATCTCTGCAATGCCTATGGTTCTTCAAATGGTACACATATCTAGGGGAGGGGCAGGCATTCGTATGGAAACTCATTCACCTGAATGTGAAATTGGTTTCCAGTAGGATCTTTTACTCAGAATCTGAGACCAAGTTTAAAAGTCTCAGAACAACTGACCCGTGGGGTCCATACCCCAACAAGATTCCAATTAAGTCTATAAAATCCTCTATCCATAGGATAACAGCCACTGGGGGAACCGTGAGGGGATATGTGATATCAGTCTACAATGGGGTTGGGTTGAGAGACTCGGGTCCTACTGACTGCCAACATCAAGATCTAGAAATCTAAGAGATGCAATCACTATGATCTAGTTCTAAAAAGATGGGGGTGCCTGTACCTTTCTAGGTGCGTTTTTCTGTCCTTTCACTTGCCTGCTAAGAAAAGCCCTAAATGCAGGCTAGCACACCAAGGTCCTGAGTGCTAGGGAAAAGCAGGGCCAGTAAGCACAGCAAATCCGTCAGTGACTACTCCTACTTGGGATAATATCCCTACACTCAGGATTGCTAGAAGTCTGTAACAGATTAAAAATCCCAGACTCTCTAAGAATAACTTTCTTCCATGAGAAAGTTAATGTGGTAGAAGGAAATCTCTATCCATGTCTCTCATCAAATTATTGTTGGCTAGTGAATGATGGGGGGAGTG